TAGATCTGCTTCAGCTCTGTCACAGTAGAGTTTCACCTCTGATTGGACACTGCTGTGCCTGTGCAGCACTTTGTGAGCTTGGAAAATGCTGGTAAATCCAAGTGTCAGCTGTGCCCGTGTGCTGGAGAGGACCCTCTCCGAAGGCACTGGCGCATGCGCTGAGTTTAATGCAATGTTTCCAGTCAGTTCACTCTGCAGTACAAATACCAGCTTCTGTCTTGTGTAAAGAAGCCTCAGAAGGTTGTCACTGAGGTTTGCTGGTCAAGGCAAGTGGCAAACAAGTGAATTCTGGGGCATGAGAGTAAAGCAAACTGGATATTGTATTTGCCTTCGCAGTTTGATCGTGCCGCTCCTGGCCACTCCACTGCAAGGATCGAGAATGATGGGTTTTTGCCAGTTTGCTCCCTTAGATACTTTGGAGCCCACAAGCACCTGCTGAAGTTGAAGCTTTTAAAAGACCAGACAGGTGTTGACAAGTTTTTAAGGTGCTCCGGAATGCAGGGCAGAGGGAGAGGAAGCGATTAAAGCGGCGCACGGCGCTCAGCCCGGGATTTCCTCGTTCTGAGAAGCTGGGAGCGAGGCAGATGAAATCTTCAAGCAGCACTGTAAGGAAGGAGTGGGTTTTATTCTTAACAAGCAAATATAATGCATGTATTTTCTGAGCAAATATTTTTCTATGCCACGTAACCAGTTACCAAGTCACACACGTACAGCCTTACTGGTGAAGTAGAGGAAGTTTCACTGTTTATCTTGTTAACTCGCTTCCCTGCAGCCACCCTGAGTCATGTGTTGCCCTGGATTGGGTGTGGGAGGGATGGGAGAGCACTTTGCCATTGCAGTTGCAGTGCCAAAAGACAGACTAACTAATTTCTGAGTCTCTTCCAAATGAGTTAACGTTGTAATAGTAGAGCATAAGGCTGAGAGAGTCGGGATTGGGACTGTTCCCAATGTTTCTTCTTCGAACATGGCAAAAAAGGAATTGTGCGTTAACTCATCGTAATAATCTGGAGTAATAATCGATAGGATGTGATACAAACTCTTTAATTGGAGTTTTAAAACATAGGAATGGTACTCTATGGCTAACATAGCTTAGCGTGTCTGTGTTAGAGCCCAGAACTTGTATGTGAAGCTGTCACAGTGTTTCTGAAGAGACTAGACAGAGCTGTATGCTGCACAAGCCTGGAGCTGTGTCCATCTGGCTCAGCAAGCAGAAGGGCATAACTTACCTGATTGCCAAAATAGTTAAAAAATTACTTAAGGATAGTCACTGACTAAATTTCCTACCCAGGTGGCTACCCCGGTGTTTTCAGGTGGTGAAAATCTGCAGGTGATTTTAAGCACTGCTTAGGAAAATGACTGATACCCTTAAATTTCAGGGGTAGCAGATGTTCTTCTTGCAGTTTAAAAAACACCTTGAGAACTGCTGTCATAGCCATGTATACACAAGCTTATCTTATGTTACAGCCTGTATACGGGGATTTTGTCTTTTGGTGAAGTGAATCTTTGAAGAGTTGATTCTGGTAATATTTCAGATGTAAGGAATTTTTTTCTTGCCTCCTTTATTTTAAAAAAAAAAGTGAAATTCACCCGATCCAGACCATAAACAAGTAGAAGGTTTCATCCTCTTGTAGACGAGGATGGGATAGTCTTTAGACAGAACATGCCTGGAAATTATCTACTTTGAGGCTGAACAGAAAAACCTCAGCAGAATTCAGAGGGCCTGAATTGGCAGATTTTATCCTGTCAGTCTGGACTCCTGCTCACAAATGCTGTGCTTATATGCATGGCTAAGCTACAACTGCTTCTGCCAATTTTCTGCTCTAAATCTTTTGCTGGTTTTGGAGTCACTGTGCAAATGAGCAGAAGAAACAGGTTTTATTCCTTTACGCCCGTTCGGATGGAAGATGAGCTGTTGCAGAAGAGAACAGAGCGGTGCGTGGACAAACCGGCCCACTTGTTACTGTCACCTCTTGGGCAGCCTGTCAACAACTATACACGGCTTTTAAAGGAATCCTTGTGCTCCCTTCTGGGCCAGAAATGATCTTCCAGCAAATGTTGACTTGCTGACTGAGTTAAGCTTATGTCATTTTATTTTATTTTTTTTTTTTGAAAGCATTAAAAAGTAAAATAAAAATCCCCCCCTGGTATTTCTTGAGCGGTCTCTAAAACCACAATTTCTATGTGAAAATCAGAAGCTGTGTCAGCTGCCAGCAGGTGACTTTGTGGTGGCCTGTGGACTGCTTCTCATGCAGATTTTTCAAAAAGGAGCTGCCATCAGTCTGAGCTAAAGGACAGCGTGGGTGCAGACAGGGTAAAGCAGGGGCTCAGCTCAGGTGGGACCAGAGCTAACTCACTTCAGGTGCTACATCCAGCTTCTTTGAACATTTCTAGACTTTGTGTTGTGGTTTGCAGTGTTTGCATGAGATGAATTGTGCAGCAGTTCCTCATCTTTTGTGTGTGCTTTGTCTTACTCTGGAGTCTTTTCCTTTACTGAGGTGTATAATAATATTTCCAAGCCACGTGGAATAAAAACCATGACATTCAAATGCAGTTCTAGTGTTGTTCATGAGTGGTGAACTAGGAGACCCTTCAAATCAATTTTCATTAAAATTCTCCATGAAGAGTCATTAACACAGTGGTCTTTCCCCTGGAGTTGCTGCTTAATGAGGAGAAAAATGGAGGAAAAACTTCATGTCAAAGCTCATGCATTCAAAATAATTCTCTTTGGAAACGTTTTAAACAGTATTTATTGCTTTGATGTTGCCTTCATCATATTTTAATGCTTAATTAAAAATAAAACTCCAAGCATCTGAAATTATATTTTACCTTAAAGCTCAAATAGAGTAGTTTTGGTTTTAAGTATTTTTCTTTTTCTGCTCAGACAAAAGAAAAAGAGAATGGCAGGCTGTTTGATGGTGTGTCATACTAGATGGCACTGATGTATGTGATGTTGGTTTTTCCATGAGAATACTGATGTGGATGAAGATTGCTTATGGGAATAAGGGTGTGAAAGAGCAGGTCCACAAAAAGTCAGTAGAAGAAATCTGTAATTATGGGTAGAATCTGCCGTGGTTTCTCGGTGTATCAGCTCAGTTTAACAGAGAGCTGGACAGAGAGGGCTGTGCTCTCGTTCCTTAAGGGTTTGTTGGGTGTGCTGTGGGATTCCTCATCTACACTGGGTGTGATGAATGGCGAGGGCCTGGAGCAGCTGGGCTGGCTCTGAACTGCTGGCCTGTTCCTCACTAACTGCTGCACACTCCTCATGCTCAGTGTCCACAGTCAATAGCAGGAAGAGACTTTGTTTCTGTCTCTCACCTTGTTTTTCCCTTCTCTCTTTCTTGCATTCTATGGCTAGGTGTCTGGATAATTCTGTTTCCATGCAAGTATCCACCTGACTCCAATTCTGCAGTCATTGGAGGCCTCCAGGTGACACTTTAGCTGCCACAGCAGCTGCTCTAGGGGTGGGTGTTGCTGAAAGCAGGCAATTCTAGCTGTGTCATTTACTTTTCCTGTGGGCAAAGCACACAGTGCTGCTCTTCCAGCCCTTAAACCATGGATTTGACCCGAGTGGTACTCCAGGATCTCACCTGGTCCTTTGGATAATGGACAACTCCGGATGCTTTGCTGATAGCAGATAACTTGTGCTTTACTTTTCAGAGTATATGTTTTTTCCCCTAAATATGCACAGGTGTTTTCCCACGGTGCCAGTGTCAAGGTAAAAGTCAGTGCATTAACCGTTACTGCAGGAGTGAAAATGAGCGTGGAGAGGGGAGACAGCAAAAAGCCAGTGAGCTGCGTTTTGAGAGTGATGAATCCGTGTTCCACCGACCCGGGAACAAAGTCCAGATGGTCCCATTCGAAGAGGGGTTTTGACAGAGGCTCTGTCACTGCCAGTGTATAACTGTGTATGTGCCACACCCTTAATTGTAACATGCCTGCTGTTTGAAGCTGCCTTACTGTTCTGGGCTGAGTGTTTTACCTGAAGGTACTGGCAGCTGTGAAGCCCAGGAGGGTGGTTCGGTTTTCTGACTGTGAAGGATGCTGTTTCTGCTGGTGAAATGATGAGGGCACCTGTTCCCTGGGAAATGGATTGAAGCCACTGCCTCTTTTCGTTCAGGGTGTTGGATAATGATCGTTGGTTGAGGCTGCAGGTCAGTGTTGATGCAAACCAGGCTGAAGTCAATGAGTCATTACCAATCCCGGGAGAACGTGAGGCCCATTAGGAAGCATTATTTAAGCAGCCTATCCTACAGGACATAGCAGACCAGCAAATACTCTGAGAATTCTCCATTGTTTTACTTGTTATAACTGTAAGTACTTGTTCAAGACTTGAACACTGACCCTGTGGTCTCCAGTGTGTTCCTGGTGGACAGGGATGTGAGTATAAACAGGCACCAGAGCAGCTGGCACTAATAATCCTGCTTGGCAGTCCCTGCAGAGGAGGAGGAATGTGAATGAGCAAAGACACTGAACAGCTTTCTTCCCGGGGCTGGAGTGCCTCCTGGATGGGTTTCAGGTGTGCTGCTATGGCAGCTTCTTCTTTCTGGACCTGCAAACTGTCAAGTTCAAAGAAGCCCTGCTAAACATTGGTTTGAGTCACTGTTTTGGTACTTGCTTGGACAGGATGCACGTTTGAGAGTGCAAGTAAATGCTTTACTGTAATTTGTCTTTTTGGCTGATTTGCAGCCCCTTGTTGCTGTTGTTGAGCCAAACAACTTTTAAGAACCTCAAAGTGTTTATTTTTTTGTTTAATTCCATTTCTCGTGAAGGATTAGGATGAGAGGGCTAATGCATAGTTACATGCATGCCCAGCACTAAAATAAATGGAGGAGAGCTTGCTGCAGGTACAGGGTACATCTAAAAATGCACCAATAAGACTTGCAAATGATAAGTTATCAAAATTTCTTAGAGATCAGCTGTGTATCACTGGCAGATTGTCTCTGTCCTTTTGTATGTAAATGTAATATGCTTGTTAAACTCTTTTATTTTTTACCTTGCAGGGGCCTGAGTTGATGAATAAATACGTTGGTGAGTCTGAACGAGCAGTGAGAGAGGTGAGGAAGGGCAGGCTATGGACAATGTTAGATGTTAAACTTTCTTGGCATTCAAATTTTTCTCTGCTTTTGAGGTTACTTTTAAACTTTCTGAAAAACTTCTGGTGCAGAAGTTTCAAAAAGAGAAGGAAAAAAGAAAAGGCAGGAGGGATATTTTATGTTGCTCAGCTTTCTCGTGTGCTGGCCTAGTGATGCATGTCAAGTTTAGGATCCAGTAGCAGCTTTCAGTAGCAAGCCTGCATTGCATAGCATCATGAACAACTTTTAAAATATTTGTTTTTTTTTAAAAAAGCCAAAACATAAGTCTGATGTCTGTTATGTGATGCTCTGTGGCTTTTGAGGCGTGTAGGGGGTGATAGCATTCTGTAAACAGTTTCCATCCTTTAAAACCAGGTGTTTCATTGTTGTTTTTCTAGATCTTCAGGAAAGCCAGAGCGGTGTCTCCTTCAATTCTTTTCTTTGATGAGATAGATGCCTTGGCAGTTGAAAGGGGAAAGTAAGTAATCCTGTTACAAAAATAACAGACGTAATTTTCTGATAAATTACTCCTACACTGTGCAATCACAAGTCTATTTACACTTCTAGAAGTATTTTATGAAATATATTCATTCCACATACAGAAGAGCAGCATGTGTGACTTTTACTCAAGCGTATTTAACTTGGCATAAACAGGTAAGCTGGTGGAGTTCCTCCTTTCTCATCTTATTAGCAGGAATGATTCTTCTGGTTCTCATGCCCGTTGGCTCTTTTCTGTGGTTTTACCTTGCATTTATTTCCAGTAACTAACTCCTTTTTTTTTTTTCCCAGGATTGTTGTACTGGCCTAATTTGGTGTCTCCATCAAGCAAACAATACAATCATGAGCTGTGTAGCATAAATTTCCAAGGAGACTACTCATATGCCTAAATTTACACTTACGTTTAAACATTTTGCCAGGCAGGGAAAAACCTGACGGAAAGATTTGCTAACACATCCTTTCATGTGTGACATTAAGAAGGGATTCTTGTGCAAACAGCTAATAGCATTTTCTTTAATATCCTGCTTTGTGATGATTCCAAGAGATGTTTAGCTTGTGTCTGAAGGAGGATTGTAGCAGGTTGTAGTTGATAGTATAGCATTTGACAGGCTCTGTAAGTGGAATAGCTTCTTATAAATGGAACTGCTACTTGTTGTGAGCAAGTACTTTTATTCTGTTTTCTTTTGCATTAGAAGCTACCAACTAGGTGCATGGAGAAAGTGTTTGTTTGGTTTAAAGCCTCATCAAAATTTCAACATTTCTCTGGAAAAGGAGCTTCCTCGGCATCCCTACAAAATTCCCTTATATTGCAAAAAGGGCATTTGTATCTTCAGAAAAGGATAACAGGTGTCATTTTGAAATTTCAGTGAAACAAATGAATTATTTTTGTTACAGGAGGTGGCATGACGTGTAGCATAGAGCTGCCCTGTGAAGCTACTAAGAAATGAACATATTTGCTGTTGAAAATGCAAAATCTGTGTGAAGGTGTTTTCATCAGCATCCTTCTCACGTGCAGTGTGTGCAGCTGTGAAATTGGTGAACTTCCTAGAAATGCTGTGCACTGAAACACCTTGCAACAAAAAGTTGCTTGAATGAAGCCAAGGGAGGGGATTCTTCCCCTGCTGCAGCTTTTTAAGGTGTTCAGCTTTCAGAAACACCACTTCATCGAGGTAAAACCCTTTTGGAAGAATAAGCCACAATACATTTTAATCAGCCTTTTCACGCAGGTGCCCTCGAAGTGTTGAGTTTGTTTGTTTGTTGTTTGCTTTATTCTCTTAGGGAGTAAACAGCCTAATGTTACCTTACCTGGAACTGTCTGTGGGGGGTAGTAGGCCTGGCAGAGCTTGCTGAAGAATGTGGTATGACCTGCTGCAGCGTTGTGTTGTGCTGGAGACATCTGGTTTTGGAGCTTTAAAAAGAACAGGGTGGGACACACAAATATTTCATTGTCAAATCTGAACCAGATGGGAGGTAAAATACGTTAGCAGAGTTCTCATAAAATTCATCTGAAATTAAATGGTGTAGGAAACCAGACAAGGCACTTATTAGAAATGGCCTTTTTTTACAGGCTGACTTTGCACAGTAGGAATTTGCAAATGCACTGGAGATGCTAATGATTTGTGGCCTCTGGAGATCCATTTCCTGTACTATTACTAACCATGCTGAAGTTTTCAAGGAAACACCTGTTTATATTGTCTCCCTATTCCCTCTGTTGGTTGAATTAGTTTTCTCTGCCGTGGCAGTGAAAAACACTGTGATGCAGCTTTGTAAGAGCTTTTCCTCTCGGTTTAAATCCTTGTTAGGATGCTGTGGGCTTTGTGCAGAATGTGCCACGTCCCAGATCTCCTGGGGAGGCAGCCTCTCCTGGTCCTACCAGGACATGTCCAGAGATACAGAGAAGCTGAAACTGTTAAGTTGGGAGAGTAGTTTTATGTATAATTCCAATCTGAAATATAGATGTGAAATAACATTGAGTAATTGTTTAATGTGTTTGCCCTTCAAAGCACTTTGCCAAGTATTCATTAACCCATAATTACTTGTTTAGATTTGTCTAAAGCTATGTGGGTTTACAACACAAATGTTTTGCTGCTATCCTTCAGAGGTGATTGAACAGTCCCTTCTAAGCAGCAGGCACATATGAACTGGTAGACTTTGAGATTATTTAGTGTACTGGTAAATCAAGAAAGATAAGGAATTACCTTGTTTGCACCTTTCAGTATAACATCTCCTTTGCATCATTTAGTGGATTCTGTCACTGCACAAGCCATTACTCCGTGGCAGACACTGTAGCTGCATTCACTTACGTCACAGTGTTTTATTTATTACACATTCCCAAGCCATAGTGCCATCATTCCATAACTGTGATACATCTAACACTCTACCTAATTCAGCTGTCTCATCTAGCAGCTTTGTTTTACCAAATGTATTTGGGTAGAACAAAAAAATGCTTTGAAGTCAGCAAAAATTCTATTAATTGACTTTGTTCAGTGTCAAAGTGTATTAGTTCTTAAAAGTTTATTTCTTATCCTGCCTGCTTAGAAGTTCCATATCTTTTGTCAATATGAACCCAGCTCCTGTTTTGTTTTATTCTTGTCCACACTCCCCTCCCAATTTTGCATGTAGGCAGCAAACTAATACATATTAATCAAGGGATTAAAAATGTGGGCTGGATGCATACCAGCCTCGAAGACAATTTATGAAACTATAATCCTACACCTCTGGTGAAAAGTATTTCAGTGCAGAGTGCAACTACTCTAGAGAAAAGTCTGGAGATCCTTGCTGCAAGAAGATGAGAGGGTGATACCGAAAGAACTTGGGTTTCTAATGTGGTAGTGAAGGCAGATAAAGATTCTTTGAGCTGTATTAATTTCTGAATCTTGTTCTGTTACACTCAGCTTCTAGCGCTCTTGGAGGAATTTTCCATCTCTTTCTGGTTTATGTGGAGATGTTAGAGGAAGTTTAGAGAGAGCTGAAAATGAAAAATTAGGGGCTGAATGGCCTGACTGTAAAGAAAAAGGGAGGCATTCTCTCTAACTGGTTCTAAAGAACAGATGATAAACCTGCAGAAAAAAGATGGGAGAAAGTTAGAGGTGTCACAGTGAGGTTTGAATAGGAGAAATGATTGATATGAGGAAAATGCCTGTAAATCAGAAAGGCTTTCGACAGAGCGTTCTCCTTCCCTGTGAGTTAGTCATTTGGGAGAAGATCCAGAACCTTCCACTTGACATCTTTAAAACAAACCTGACATGTCAGGGATCACCGTGCAGCGAGGAGCAGTCGGGCACTGGCAGAGGTGAACAACGTGACGCACGGAGCCCTTTCCACTGCTCCGTGGTTCTAATGAGCATTCGCTTCCATGAGCCGGTTATGACTTTTTCCTTTCTTTCTCCGTAACTTTTGAGAGATGTTGTTATGACTTGTTGTAGGAGAGGCTGTGCTGAGGCAGGACTGGTCCAGATACAGCAGGGAAGTTTGCCTGGAAGTAATCCCTGGCCTGCATGAAGCTTTGAGAGGCTTTACAAATTGCCCAGCTGCGGAGAGTTATGGGTATTTGTTATCCCTCGGTATTCCTGACCATGTAAAACCTAATTCTTCTGGCCATCAGAGGTTGCCAAGAGGGAAATGGCTTGGTAATTAGACTTGAAAGTGATGAATGAACGTGGGTCTGTGTAAATGCAGCACAGACAGTCTGTTTGCTGAACTTAAGAAATCTCTGTGCTTTGGAAATGGGACATTGTTTATATAAGTAGGATTTTTAGGATTTTTGGGCAGGAGACATATTTGTTTCTTTTCTTGTTTTTCAGAAACAAAACGTTTTCCCCTTTAACTGCAAGGCTTTGTAACGTAAGATGGGAAATGTTGTAGATTGAAAATGGAATTTATCAGTGTCTTCTGCAGCAAAGAGGAAAAAAAGAGAAAGACAAGGGACAAAATCAGTACTTTTTTTGACTTCTGGAGGCCAAAGCAATTTGGTAGATGAATGTTGCTAACCTTTTCAGAGCGAGGGTAGAAGTGACAAAGTGAAGGGATATTGCTACCAATCCCCTGAAACTGCAACTTGATGATGCTTTTTCGGGAAAATACGTTATCCTGTATGCTGGGGGGAGGATAGATAGATTCCTAAGCCACAATTTGAAGTGCTCAGAAGCACTGAAAGATGTGCTGTTTTAATTTTAGGTATCAAAATATTTGCAGTCTCAAGTTTTGAGGCCCTCAGGCTGCTAAAAGGAAGCTGTGAAGAACAGCAGCTTCTCTGCTGTCCTCTGCCACCTCTGCTTTTAATAAGGACAGTGATAAATCTTCTCTTTTTAAACCAAACTGTCTTTCTGGAATATTTTAACCCATATTTATGCCCTACACTTGAACATACCATTGCATTTTTGTATCTGTGCAAATTCCCTGGTGCATTTGAGCAGCATCTGTCATGAAGGAGTTCAGTGATTGCATCCAGCAAGGAAACCCATGGGCTGCACCCTGGAGGGATGCAGCAAAGTGACATCGGGTAGGAGAGAGGTAGTTGGCAGAAATCTGCCTTGCACAAGGTAAATTAGCAGTAGTCCCTGAATTGGTGAACGTCAGCTGATTCCCTGCAGTATCTGAGCTGTGTTTGCACGTGATGGAGAGTTGAGACATTTTAAGCTTTTGTGACTGCTGTATGAATTCTTGAAAGTTTTGGAATTGGGTATCTAAACAGAAATATTGTCTGGGAAAAATGTTGCATGTCCAGTGCCAGCTTTCTATTTTAGGCCTAGCAAGGAGTGGTGAAAAAGGAAAGTTTGGAAACTGTTTGATTGTACAGTGAAGCTTGTATTTGTCTTTGGAATAGCAATTTTAACAAGTAGCGTTACCCGTAGATTGTGTAGATATACAATAAATGTCTGAAATCCCTTTAGTTTTGAAACAAACTCATTAACACCTCTTGTCTAGCAGGAATCCTTTATCTCAATGTGTTCTAAATCTGTGTTTCTTCCTTTTTGTACA